ATACAATTACTAATAATAAATATCAAATAACGAAGATTAAATAATGAAAGTTAAATAACGAATGAATAATTAACATGATGACTGCAGTATATATAAGTTTCTGTAAATATTTCCATGGTGATGATAAAATTACTAACAATTTTTAATTTTAAATATTCTGTTGTTTATATTAAATACACATCTCGAACGGAACGTCTTTAATGAACATAGATAGTCGTTGATCTAAATTCCTCGAAGTAGAGGTCGCTACAGATCCATAAGGTAGATCTAAAAACGTTACGCAATAAATTTACAATTTAAAACGAAATTAGCTACCATCTTAAGATGCGTCCACTTGTTGGAAAAAAAAAGAAAAAGCGGTCCCTCGAAATTCCAAGTCCTCCGGACTTCGTGCTTCATGATCAAGGCTGATAATTCATCGATAAGTCACCAGTTGGAAATCGGACAACGCCGATAATGGCGGCCAATCTCTCCCCGGACGTGCCGGATGGAAGGATCCCGGCTGGGCCGGCTTATTTATCCAGATAAATAATAGGAAATAAAAACGATGAAACCGGTGCCCCGGGCAAGATGAACCGTAGAGTCGGAGCTTCGGTAACAAATGTCTGGCACTCGATCTAAATTGAGTTAGCTACGTATGGAAGAGCATCCCTCTCTGGCTCGCGGCTGCCACAACCAACCCCTCGCCTCCTTTTCTTAGACCCTTGGGCGGCTATTCCTCTCTCTCACGATGAAACGGCGGGATATCGCCAGGCAGCGAGAGAGATATCCAGGCTAGGACAACGGCCATATTGCTGGCTTTCTTTTTTCCGCTTCCAACGGACGGGATCGGAGGGAGTCGGATAGATTTTTCTTAGCGGGCTTAATCTAAGCCTCGAGTATAAAGCGACGATTGGGGAGGCTCGCTCGCTCGCTCGCTCGCTCGAATTTTTTTTTATTTTTGGACCTACTGTTTCGTAAGATTGCCCCGACAAGGGGAGGGGCGTCACTGTTGTGTGTCAATATTTATAGTAGTCTTAAAAATTAATTTCACCTATATCCAACTTTAACGAATAATCCATCCTCGACGATTAGCCTAACTCTTTGGATCTCGAATCTCTTTCCATGTTGCATTGTCGATTAAACGTCCCATTTGCCACTTATCGTCATCGAGCCAAGCTTCTTGAAAAGACTATCGAATTTCCCATCAAGTTATTCGACTTCGTCCAAGATTGATCTTGTGCCAATGATATACTAAAATACTAAAAACGGACTAAACAGCGAGAACAACACTAACAATCTTTCTAGTACGTTGATTTAATTCCACGTCGGATTCTAAAGGGTTGTAATAAACGTTTCGAATAAAAATTAATAGAATACAACACTAACGACCTTTCTGATACATTAATTAAAATTAAGGGTTGTTAAACAGCAAGATTAACAACATACAACACCTCATCAAGACATCAATTTAATTCCACATCCGAATTTTAAAGGAAAATTGCAAAATGTTTTGAATTACAGACAGATAGAAGATAATAACGTTCATTAATCCATCAATTTAATTTCGCATCCGAATTTTAAAGGAAAATTGAGAGATGCTTCGAATTACAGACAGATAGAAGATAATAACGTTCATTATAATCCATCAATTTAATTCCGTATCCGAATTTTAAAGGAAAATTGCAAGATGCTTCGAATTACAGACAGATCGAAAATAATAACGTTCATTAATCCATGAATTTAATTCCACATCCGAATTTTAAAGGAAAATTGCAAGATGCTTCGAATTACAGACAGATCGAAAATAGTAACGTTCATTAATCCATCAATTTA